TCAGGGTCTCTAACCCCTCGCCTTCAGCCCACCCCCAGCCTCTCAACAATAATATGTAACCTATTATTTGTTATTGCTTTTTCTATCTTCTCTCCATTTGCCAGTGGGCAAGTCCTGTCCAATTCCAGGAAACAGTTCAATTCAGTAATGAAAAGCTAGCCAAATGATCTCAGGAACTATGCTTTTCTAATCCTAGCACTGACACTAACTCGTCATGTGATTAATCCCCAAGAACTTTAACTCACCTCTCGCTGGCCAAATGGCTGGGAATTTCTCTCTCTTTCTTCTCCCTGCTGTTGTTATTGTGAAGCAAAAGGGCTGAGAACAGACAGCAGAAGGAAAAGGAAGAAATGGCAAGGGGGGCCCTGTAACCCCCAGTAGGGCTTATTAAGCCTTTAGTAATCTAGAATTCACTATTTTGGGAGTATTGTGTCTACACATGTGCCCACAGGGATTATCTGCATGTCTACTTTACTTCCTCTTTAGATCACGGCTTCCGGCATTCACAATCCATTAATCTAATGAACTCTTTGAGGGCACTGCCTTTTTACCTCTTTTTGTATACCCAGCGCTTAGCCCAGTGCCTGCCACTTAATACACGTTTACAACTGAATGACTGACTGGCAGAGATTACATTTTCCTAGCTAGCAGGTGAAGTAGAAAAGAATGCTGGGCCTGGAGTCAGGAAGACTCATCTCTCCGAGCTCAAATCTGGCCTCAGATACTTCCTAGCTGTAGGACCCTGGGCAAGTCATTTAAACCTGTTTGCCTCAGTTTCCTTCTCTGTAAAATGAGCTAGGGAAGGAAATGTCAAGCCACTTCAATCTTTGCCAAGAAAATCCCAAATGAGGTCACAAAGAGTTGGGCACAAATGAAAAACGACTGAACAACATTTTCTTTCACGTAAATCTTTATAAATTTAATACGTGAAAGTGGTGCCAGATAGTGGCAAAGACATAGAAGTGAGTGCCAAGAACCTCAGCTTCTAGGACTGATTGCCAGTAATCAGCTGTCTGATCCTGAGGACATCAGTTACCCGCTCTGCCTCCTCGGTTTCCATGTTGATGGGGGAAGGGTGCCTAGAGCAGATACTCTTCACCATTTTTTGTATTATGGACCCAATTCCTCCCCTTTGGCAGTGTCTGGTGAAACCTATGGACCCCTTCTCAGAATGTTCTTGAATAAGATAAAATACATAGGATTACCAAGGAAAGCAAATGTGGGGATATATGGTTATACAAATATTTTAAAAACAAGTTCATGGAGCCCAGATTAATAACCCCTAGACTAGATGATAACTTACATTTGAGGATCTATGACCTAGTACAACCTAATCAGGGCAGATAAGTGGTGAAGTGGATAGTCAGAAAGACCTGAGTTAAAATTCAGTCTCAGATACTTCCTAGCTGTGTGACCCTGGGCAAGTCACTTCACCCTGTTTGCCTCAGTTTCCTCATCTGTAAAATAAGCTAGAGAAGGAAATGGCAAACCACTCCAGTGTCTTTGCCAAGTAAATCCCAAATAGGGCCAAAAAGAACTGGACACAACTGAAAAATAATTGAACAACAACCTAGTTAACCAGAGCCACTCAAATGTGACTGCTTATCTTCACCTCCTGATTCGATTCTTTGATCTGATCAATGAAAAACAAGCCTTAGCAAAGAGTCCAGTGTTTGTGGGCATCTTACTATGTTTCTGACTGGCCAGATACATTTGATTCTATTCTGCCAATACCCAGGGAGCTCCAGGGCATAAGGTAGTAGGGACCGTGGCCTTTACAACGTAAGGCCTATCCATGCCAGGGAACAGAGCTCAACCCCTAAAGGAAGACTATACCTTCAGTCTGTCATCTGCAAAAATTTCTCAGGGAAATTTCCACTAGTTCAACACAGAGCACTGGAAAAATTCTAAGAAAAAGACAACTGACTCCATGACAGATGTTGAAGCGCACAAAAAGATGTTTCCTCATCCTTGGACCTTCAAGATCTAAGAGAAAAACAAAGACTGGGCTCTCTAGGAAATCCTATTTGACAGATCCTCACACTTCTGCAAATACCATGTTAAAAGAGAAAAAGGTCATAAATATCATGAAAGATAAACACTGAATATGAGGAACTTTTCAAGCTAATTATGGTACCCAGCCAACAGTGATAGCAAACAGCTGTGTCAAAAGAAACCCGTGCCTTAAGTTTGTAAGTTTGTAAACTAGGAGGGTTCACAGCTACAAGTCAATCTCTCTCTTAACCACTGACTTATCCATTGGTTTAAATTACACATAAATGATGTCATCATGGCTTCATTCGTTTGATCGACTTAATCATTTATTTCCCATTGTGTCAGGCACGATCTTGTCACCTTAAAAGAGGCCTATTTTAAATAGGTCAGCCTTCGCAAAGGGCAACATGGTGGGACGGCATGTATTTGGCTGGAATCCTATCGAATGCTGGCTTCTAAAAACAAGAAGCTATTCCTGTGCCCCAAAGTATGGAAAAGGTCAACCTTAAACATTCAATAGGCAGTGTTATGGAGGGAGACAACCAAGTAGGGCTCAGATTTTCAGATTATTATCCTGATTCCAGCAAGGTCTTACTATGAGACTTTCAGAAACCTACTCAATCAATTTGGCAGTCTACTTCATCTGTAAAAACCACACAGCTTTAAGAGCACATCTGTATACAAAGGGTTAAAGGCTCACATTTTACCTACTATGACTAATTTTACTAGAACAGTACACCTTATTAACTAAAAAATAAATGTGATATAAAATTTGCCACCAGGTAAAATAAGGTTAAGTAAATGAAAAATGTTACAATTTACAGAATAACATAATGTATGATAAACATAAAAATAACATATTAATGCCAAATGTTCAACATTCATTGCCAGAACCAAAAACAGGAACCAGTCATTTTTAGGGCTCATTCATTCAATTAACATTTATCCAGACTCTACCTATATATTTATATTCCAAAGACCAGCAAAATTCAGAATGACCAAATTAATTAAAAGATGGTGAATTGTTTTTCAGTTGTGCCTGACACTTTGTGACCCCATTTGGGGTTTTCTTGGCAGAGATACCGGAGTGGTTTGTCATTTCCTTCTTCAGCTCATTTTACAGATGAGGAAACTGAGGGAAACATGGTTAAGTGATCTGCCCAGGGCCACACAGCTAGTAAGTATCTGAGGCTGGATTTAAACTCAGGTCTTCCTACATTGGGAAACGTAGGTAATCTACCATACCTACCTAGTTTCCTACATTGGGAAATGTAGGTAATTTAAAAGCAAAAGTCATCAACACAAATTTATTTTAAAAAATAAAATAAAATGAGTTGGCAGGGCAGACTAGTGGATTCCCTAAAGACCTTTAAAACAAACAATCAATAAATAAAATTCATGGAGTGTCATGGAAATTAAACATTAATTCCAGCATGCTGAAATTCCAAGAAACATATGAACAAACCCTAAATAATACTCAGGAGTTTTAACTTTTGTAGAAACAGATGAAACTAAATTTTGTGCTCGATGAAGCAACTTTTTATGAGGGACCTTAAAACCAAACTACTATCTACTCTACCTACAATGCACCAGTCACAGGATCAGAGAAAGGTAGATTTCAAACTGGAAAAAATCTCAGAGGTCACTCATTCCAATCTTCTTGTGTTATAGATAAGAACAGTGAAGCCTAGAGAAGTTAACTTGCTCAAACTCACACAGATGACAAGTAGCAGAGCCAGGATTTGAATGCAGATCTCTGACTGGTATTCATCGTTCTTTCTACTGTATGTGCCCAGATATGCCTGGTCAAATACCTGTGACCAGCACACTGGCTTACCTTTCATGATTTCAAATGGAAAACTGATAAAAAGAAATGTTAGTAATCTTCCAAAATTTAGGAGACAAAGTTCTGACCTCTGTTTTGTTGGTGGGGACCAAAGAGACAGTAAATATATAAAAGACTCTAAACGGAGGGAAGGGGTAAGGAGGGAAGTGGGGAGAAGGATGTGGCTAAAGCCACTGGCCCTCAGGCCTCCGACACCTCACAAGCCAACATGTCTAAGGTGCCAACCTCTACCACAAACAATGGAAATGTCCTAAATCTATCACAGGCCCATACAAACATATCATGACCCTCATACACATAAGCTTCTATTCACTGATTCACAGGTATTAATTTCAAAGGTGGTACAGTGGATAGAATGCCGGGCCTGGACTGAGAAGACTTCACACTTCCTAGCTGTGTGACCCTGGGCAAATCACTTCACCCTGTGTGCCTCAGTTTCCTCATTTACAAAATGAACTTGAGAAGGAAATGGAAAACCACTCCAGTATCTCTGCCAAGAAAACCCCAAATGGGATCACAGAGTCAGACACAACTGAAAAATGACTGAACAACAATGACTAGTTTAAAAGGGTTTTCCTTAAATGTGAAAGTCACTTACAGCCATTTGAGCCCATCTAACTGGGGCTAAGAACAAAACAACCCTTCCCTTTGTGAAAACCAGCTCAACTGTCTCTCTCTGTCTCTTTCCATATCACCAACACAAAGTTCTCCAAGGCTGAATGCCTTTCAAGTGTCACAGACTGGACTTTCTTTCAAGGTACTGAAGTTGGCTTTCTCCATCTAAGTCACCACTAGACCTGGAGACATGAACGTCCCAATCACCAAGGCCTGCAAGCTCGGCATCACCCCCAGCTCCTCACTCACACTCACCCCACATTCAATCCACTGCCAAATCTCACTATTTCCCTCCATCTCTTGTCCCTTTTCAGCACTCACACAACCACCACCAAACCTCTGACCCGTATTATACTGCAATGAGTATCCCAGCTTCAGATCATTCCTCTCATCCATCCACCCTCCATCGGGCTGCCAAATTGATTTTCCTACAGCCTAGATCAGACCATGTCACCCCACTGCCCAATGAGCTCCTGTGGCTCCCTATTACCTCTGGGAACAAACAAGTAGCTGGCCGTTTCCTCCCTTTCCAGTCTTCTCATACCTTACTCCCCTCCATGCACTCAATGGCCCAACTACATTGGCCAACTCGCTCTTCCTCAAACATGAGGACCCCATCTCCCGTCTCCATGTCTACAAATGGCTGTCCGCCATGCCTGGAATGCTCTGTCTTCCTTATCTTCACCTCCTAGCTTCCTTCAAGCATCACCTCCAATTTCAGTTTCTGTATGAGGAGCTATTCAAATCTGCTAGTGCCTTCTCTTTTCTGGTCAACCTTGAATCTTCTGTTTATAGCTTTTATCTATCTAGTTATTTACATGTGGTTACCCCATTAGAGCACAAGCTCCTTGGGGGCAATGACTGTTTTTGTCTCTATGTGTATCCCTGATTTGGCATAGTGCCTGGAAGTGGTAACCCTTAATAAATGCTTGTTGACCTGGTTTTGAATGACCTTTTCAGGGCTCATTCCATTCTGTGTTAAAAGAACTGGACACTATGCGTATCTTGGATCCAAGCTAATAAACTGTTTATATAATTATCTCTACTGAGGAACTTGTAGTCTCTCAAAGAGGATTTTTAAACATAGTTAACCTCAGAAAGAAAAAGAATAAACACAAACATGATTTAATCCCGTAAGTGTTATCAGCCCTCTCGGAGAACATAAGCCATTAGTTAAAGAAACTAGCCATTAGGCTAGGAACAGGTATCAAACACAATCCAATCTCTTAGTCTTCAGATAACAGTTAGCCATTAGCTGTTTAGGAAACAGTGAATACAAGTAAATAACCGTTTCCAGCCTGGAACCTTAACAGTAAAGTTGGCACTGGCCATTTGTCTCTCTTTGTACTTCTCTAGACCAAGGTCAGGGCTAAAAAAAGCCAGCTTCTCTTAACCTTTCCTTTAGATTACTAACTTGTTAATCATAAGTAGTATCTTCTGACTCTCCAAAATACCAGTCAGTAGGCAGCTGAGGTTCTCACCTGAACGTCAACCTCATCGTGACACTTCTGATGAGAAGAGCCATTCGTTCTCACCCAGCCCAAGACATATGACATTTGGGAAGTTCTGCTAAACCCACGTCCATCCTAAATTTGATTATAAAAATCCATGCACGTTCATTTTTGGATTTGGATCAACTAGGAAGGGAGCCTTGGGTGGGCATCTGATCTACCTTCATTACTTTGGAAGAGACTAGAGAGTTAAAATAACCCAATACTCAAACTACAAGAATGAGGGATGGCAATCACCAGAAACAATGCCTCAAGTCAGTCACGGGAGCCAGGATCAAGGAGGGTTTGGACCCAAGGCCCTAATTCTTCCCAGGAAGTCTGAGGAACCTCATGTCTCCCTCCCTACTGGTATCTGTCTGCTGAGATTACCTCCAATTTATACTGCCTATTTTCTGAACCTACGTAGTTGCTTGCATACTGTGTAGTGGAGGAGTAGGGAACCCGTGGCCTTAGTGGGCCTGGTCTAGCCCCATTAGATTATAAGCTCCTTAAAGCCAGCCAGGGTCTTGTTTCTGTCTTTCTTTTTTATCACCAGCCCTTAGTCTGTCCTTAGGACACGGTAAGGATTTAACAAATACATAATGATGATGGCAGTGGTGATGATAATGCCGGTGGCAAAGAGTGTGGTACGTTCCAGGAAGAGCAAATTTTGAATCTGTGATGGCTGTCGGTATATTATCAATTTTCCTTGGTCACTAACACAAGTGCTTTGTAAACATTAAAAGATCTATATATTATCTTAATAATATGAAGAAGTATCACCAAACTAAAAGCATTGGGCATTTTGGTACTAAAGTAAAACAGTGGAAAAATAATGGGCCCCAGACGTTTTGTCAACCTCCGGGCATAAAGCGCTACAGAAATGTTAACACATGAGGAAGAAAATTAAACTTGGAAACTATGACTAGTACTGTGAAGTGAGTCCCCATGAGATGCTCACAAGCAAAGGACACCAAAGACTGACTTTGCAGTTATCAGCTCCGAAAACAGAAGGACAGAAGAAATATGGAACCCAAGGCTAGCTCCCCTGACATGCTGCAATCAGGCAGGGCGTAAGACAAATAAAATGGTGAGCAGGATTAAACAGATGGTGCAGGAGTTTAGTATGATGTACAAGGGGCTTGCAGTGGGCAGATGAGTAGTTCACAGGACCAGATTAACCAATGCTAATCCCATCCCCCAATAAACCACTGACCCCATTTCTTTCTTTAAAGGAGGAAGTGTCTCTAGAAGTCAATGCAAAGAGAAGACAGGTGTGGCTTTTGCTTAGGGCAGTTTCAACAAGTCTTTTTTCTGTCTTTTTTTTTTTTATTTGCCAGTCGGGGCAACCACAGAAGACAGGGGATGAATGTCGATGGATATTTATGCCACAAGTTAGAGGAATGCTGGTGACCTGCTAATCATATGTTTTTCTGGTTAAAAATCTGGAGCAAATTATTGGGATCCAAATATATAGACTATCTTCATTTGGGCTACGACTGTTTTACTAACTAAACTATTCAACCTAACATGGATCTGCCCAAGACATTATAAAGGTCCAGGGCAGGGTAGTGCATGATATATGTTCCATGATATATATTCAAATCCCACTTCAGATGCCTACTACTTGTGTGATTTGGGCACATCACTTAAACTCCTTAAGCCTCAGTTTCCTCATTTGTAAAGTCAGGCAGCTGGACTAAATGGCCTTAGGTCCCTTTGGGCACAAGATCTAGGAACCTAATTCACTGCAAATCAACATTAATTCCCGCAGTGGATATTGTTACCACTCTATTGTTATTAGCACTATATCTATATTATTATCAATATTCCCAAATTACTATCAATGGTCCCTACCTCTATTAATATTACATAGATAATAGTATGCGTGGGGCAGCTGGGTAGTGCAGGGGATGGAGCCCCAGGCCTGGAGTCAGAAAGACCCAAATTCAAATCTGGCCTCAGACAGTTACTAGCTGTGTGATCCTGGGCAAGTCACTTCATCCAGTTTGCCTCAGTTTCCTCATTTGTAAAATGTAAAAAGATGGGCTCAAATGGCTGTAAGTGACTGGAGAAGGAAATGGCAAACCACTCCAGTATCTTTGCCAAGAAACCCCGAATGGGGTTACAAAGAGCTGGACACAACTAAACTGAACTATTATGCATAATCTACATTAAAATAGCACTTCATAATCACTATTTTACAGATGAAGAAACTGAGGCCCAAGGAGGTTAAGTAATTTATCCAAGGGGTTATTACCAACACTGCCCCCAGTTCTCCTGATGTCCAGAAAGACTGATGTTCTTTCCACTAAACCACACTGATTTCCTATTTTGGTTATCCTTTATTTTAAAAAAGGACACTTTGCCAGGCAAGCAAACAGACAGCTATAACACTATTGGAAATGCTGTTTACAAATTTAAAATCCTGCCTGGCCTGTGTAACTGGGGCCTTCCGGCAAGCAGCATGGGTGTGGCTGAGGAAATGGAGATGATCCACCCAGCAGAGATCTCCAAAAGCAAATAATGGAAGATTCCCTACCGGCTGCCTAGGTAATGGCTTGTCACTTGACTGTCCCAGGAAGCGCAGTCCCATGCAAAGAGTCAAGAGAAGTAAAAGTTAGTGTTATCTTAGCCCCAGTTGTTGGTGTCACTGATTATACAGTGTAATGATTATGTGCTACTGATTAAGCTTGCACCATTTTCCATACTCAGCTGTACTATAAAACTCAAGCTGGAGCACACTGGCCTCTTGTTTTGCATCACTTCCACACCTTCCAACAAAGAACAAATTTGTCAACAAAGAATACATGTATTTTTAGCCACAGGCAAAAAAAAAATGTCCACCAGAATGTTTGTTGCAATTAATTACACAGCAAATCCTTACTCACTTTGAGCAAGTTGTTTCATCTCTCTGGGCCTCAGTTTCCTCCTCTGAAAATAAGGGGGTTGGACAAAGTGACTTCTAAAGTCCCTTTCATGTCTAAATCTAGGAGCCTATACATTTTACCATGCTTCCCCAAAGTAGAAGGAAATCTAAGCCTCAGGCGTCTGACCACATTTGGCCCTCAGAGACAAGAACGGTGCTTGGTAGCAGTCTTGCCTAATTATTTGACCCTACACGAGACATTTAATTTCTGTGTGCCTCAGTTTCCCCTTCTTTACAGAAGAAACAAACATTTAAACAAAAACGAAGGGTTGGCCTCGAGCTCCCTTGTCTCTCTGAACTATGCTCCTGACTCCCCAAATCAAAGGCAGATCGGGTGGACTTGGCCGGCGTTCCCATAAATTAAGCCTTAAAATTCATCCCGGCGTTTGCTAACTCGACCCAGGCGTCCAAAAAGGGGCCGAGGTAAGACTGCCCCGTTGCAGTAGAAGACGGTCGGTCTCCTGATCAGAAAAGTTGCTGGAGTGAAATGCCCAGCCCTCGGACAGCTGCAAAGTGCCGGGGGAGGGGGGGGGGCAGTGCCGGCCAAGCGGGGGCAGGCGAGGGCAGGGTCAGTTCGGATCTTTGCCTCGTCCCTCGTCCCTGGCTACTCCGCCTGCCTGTCATGTCCAGCCTGGGGAGGCCAGGGTGGGGACAGGGGGAGCACGGAGAGAAAAAGTCGTTTTCTCCCAAGCTCAGGCTGATGCACGGTGCTACCGCTCCCGGGAGGGGAAGAAGGGAGGCAGGCAGCTCCGAGCGAGCGGAGACTACCGTGGGGAGGAAGGCAGGGAGGGAGGGAGGGAGGAAGCCAGCTCGAGCCGCGGCTGCCGGGGCGGGGGCGAGGGCGGGGGCGGGGGACGCGGCCGCCCGCAACAAGTGACGGGGAAACCAACTCGGCACTGGAGCCTCCGCCTCGGCGGGGGCGAGCCTGCCGCGGGGACCTCTGCTAAAGAAGCCAGGGCCCGGGCGCGGCCGCCCGGCGTCACTTACGGGAGTTCACGGCCCCAGTCAGCCCTGCTCAGAAACTTTGTGTCCACCGGCTGGACGAGTACGGGACCTCGACGCAGGCAGCCATGACACCGATGGCTCGGGACTACAACTCCCAGCGTCCCTCGCGCGGGGCCTGCCTCTCCCAGCATTCCCGCAGCAGCCTGCAACTCCGCCCCCTCCCCCCCACGCTCCTCCTCCTGCTCCTCCTCCTGCGCGATCCCCCAGCGCTCAGGCGTCCGTGTGTGGGGACCTCAGCTTCCTCCTCTGTACAATGGGCGGCTGGGACTAGATGCCTTCCGTGTCTAAATCTGTTGTTTGCTGTTGCTGCTGCC